GACCTCATGGCCTTCAGCCCCAGCCTTCCTCCTTGTCTGAGTTCTGCAGAGGTAACAGGTGAAATAGAACCAGATTCAGAACAGTTGAAAGAGGTGAGGTCGTATTTGAAATTTTCTTACTGTTTTAGCCCTCCTCACAGTTTTCTATTTAAGATTCTTCGATCTCAATTTTAAGATCGTTCTTTAATTTTGCTCATCATTATGGTATTTCATGAGTGTTACTGACATCATTAGTTTCATTATTCTTCAGATTGAAATCTTAAGGCAAAAGCCATAATATTGTTCATAATGTTAATAATTTGCTTTTGTTGTATTCTTAATAGTTATAAAGTATTTATTACCTACATAAGCATTTTCAAGAAACTCCACATTGTGATTACTTGAGCATTTAGAAAACTTTTGCTTTAATGAGGCTAACCATAATTAAACTTTAAAATCTCTTTATTTTTAAAATTTATTCCTCTACCCACATACAGGTTTTGTTTTGAACAGTGCCATAACTTTTAACATAACATCTTTTTAAAGGTGCATATTTCTTTCTTTTTAAAAAATCTTTTTTTGTTTGCTCCCTCCTCATTTTCCTCTAGACACATCACTGTTCCCCTGTCTGATAACCAATATGATTTCCTTTAACATTTTTATGTTCAGTTAATTATTCATTCACATGCATATACCTGGTGGGTTTTTTTTGTTATTGTTTCTTTTGGATAATTTATTAGAAGAGATAATCCATTTTACATTTCTCAGTCACCAATACCTCGTGGAAATCCCTACAAGTCTGACACTTTTAATAGCTGTGTAGTACTCCACACTCTGGATGTATCATTTTTTAAAAATTAATTAATTTATTTATCTTTTTATTTTTGGCTGTGGAAGTCCCAAATAATTAGCTTTTATCTTCCATCTATACCACAAATATTTTTCCTCCTATATATTGATTTGTTTAGGGTATATCTTGCCATATAAAAGTGTTTTAAAAATTTCTCTGTTTTTCTGTTATGGATTTTAAGGTCTCTAGGTTTAGTTAGGAAGGTCTTCCTTTTAGATTGAACATTCATTAATTAAATTCATTTAACAAACATTTGTTTTTAAATTTAATTTAAACAAATATAATTTACATATAATACTATATTAGTTTCAGATGTACAACCTAATGATTCAATATTTGTATATATTGTGAAATGATCACCACAATAAATCTACTTAACGTTCATCACTATACATAGTTACAAAAATTTTTTTCTTTTAATGAGAGCTTTTAAGATCTATTCTTTAGCAACTTTCAAATATATAATACAGCATTATTAACTATAGTCACCTATAGTCATGCTGTACATTACATCACCAGGGCTTATTTATTTTATAACTGTCAGTGTGTCTCTTGACCACCTTCACCCATTTCACCCACCCTCCACCCCTTGCATCTGGCAACTACCAATTTGTTTTCTGTATCTATGAGTTTGTTTGTTAGATTCCATATAAGTTAGGTCATTTTTTCTTAATGTAGGCATTTATTGCTATAAACCTCCTTCTTAGCACTGCTTTTGCTTCACCTCATAAGTTTTGATATGTTGTGTTTTCATTTTCACTTGTTTCAAGGTATTTTTGAATTTCCCATTGATTTCATCTTTGACCCATTGGTTTCCAAGAGTGTGTTAATTTCCACATATTAGACCATTGTGGTTGGAAAAGATACTTCATATGATTTCAGTCTTTTAAAATTTGCTTACACTTGTTTTGAACCTAATATCTGATCTATCCTGGAGAATGTCCATGTGTGCTTGAGAAGAATGTATATTCTGCTGCCCTTGGATGAAATGTTCTGTGTATATCCGTTAGGTACATTGGGTGTAAATTATAGTTCAAGTTCAATGTTTCCTCATTGGCTTTCTTTCTGGATGATGTATTCATTGATGAAAGTGGATATTGTAATGTTGTCTCTTAGTTCCTTCAGATCTGTTAGTATTTGTTTTATGTATTTATGTACTCTGATGTTAGGTGCAATTTATTTACAATTATTATATCCTTTTGATGAATTGACCACTTTATCACTATTAATGGCTTTCTTTGTCTCTTGTTACAGTTTTCTACTTAATCGACTTACAGTCGATTTTGTCTGATACAAGTATAGATACCTCTGCTCTCTCTTTTGGTTTCCATTTGCATGGAGTGTCTTTTTTCCATATCTTCATTTTGAGAGGGAATGTCTTGGAGGCAACGTGTAGCTGGTTTTTTCTTTTTCTTTTTTTTTAAAACCTATTCTGCCATTCTATGCCTTTTGATTGGACAATTTATTCCACTTACATTTAAAGTAATAATTGATAGGCAAGAACTTACTATTGCCATCTTGTTCATCGTTTTCTGGTTGTTTTGTAGTTCCTTTGTTCTTTTCCTCCTCTCTTGCTATCTTCTTTTGTGAACTGATGATTTTCCATTGGGGTATACTGTGATTCCCTTTTCTTTATCTTGTGTGTACATATGTACTATAGTTTTTTGTTTGTTTATTTTGTGGTTACCCTGTGGCTTACTTGAAATGTCTATAGCTATCACAGCCTATTTCAAGCTGATAACTTTTATCACATACAAAAACTCTACTCTTCTACTCTCCCCTTTATTTTTATTTATTTTTTAAAATTTATTTTATTTATCCATTTTTTTTTACTGCATTGGGTCTTTGTTGCCACATGCGGGCTTTTCTCTAGTTGAGGTGAGCAGGGGCTACTCTTCGTTGCAGTGCGCGGGCTTCTCACTGTGGTGGCTTCTCTTGTTGCGGAGCACAGGCTCTAGGCACGCAGGCTTCAGTAGTGTGGCACGCAGGCTCAGTAGTTGTGGCTCATGGGCTCTATAGTGCAGGCTCAGTAGTTGTGGTGCATGGGCTTAGTTGCTCTGCGGCATGTGGGATCTTCCCGGACCAGGGCTCAAACCCATGTCCCCTGAATCGGCAGGAGGATTCTTAACCACTGTGCCACCAGGGAAGCCTTCTTCCCTTACTTTATTTTTTGTTTTTGTTGCCATAATTGACATCTTTTTTAAAAATAAATTTATTTATTTATTTATTTTTGTCTGTGTTGGGTCTTTGTTGCTGCGCGCAGGCTTTCTCTAGTTGCAGCGAGCGGGGGCTACTCTTGGTTGTGGTGCATGGACTTCTCATTGCGGTGGCTTCTCTTGTTGTGGAGCACAGGCTCTAGGTGTGTGGGCTTCAGTAGTTGTGGCATGCGGGCTCAGTAGTAGTGGCTCGCAGGATCTAGAGTGCAGGCTCAGTAGTTGTGGCACATGGGCTTAGTTGCTCTGCGGCATGTGGGATCTTTCCGGACCAGGGCTCGAACCCGTGTCCCCTGCACTGGCAGGCAGATTCTTAACCACTGCCTCACCAGGGAAGTCCTTGACATCTTTTTATATTGTGTATCCATTAGCAAATTATTATAGCTATATCTATTTGTTTTTAGCTATATCTATTTTTTACACTTTTGTTTTTTAACCCTTACACTAGAGTTAAGTGGTTAGTTATTATGCCATCATATTACAGTATTAGATTATTCTGAATCTGACTATATACTTACCGTTATAAGTGTATTGTGTATTTTCATATGTTTTCATGTTACCAGATAGTAGCCTTTCATTTCAGCTTGAAGAACTCCTTTCAGCATTTCTTGTAAGGCACATCTAATGGTGATGAACTCCCTCAGCTTTTGTTTGTTTGGGAAAGTCTTTATCTCACCTCCATTTCTTTTCTTTTTTAAATTAATTAATTTATTTAGTTTTGGCTGTTTTGGGTTTTCGTTGCTGTGCGTGGGCTTTCTCTAGTTGCGGCGAGCAGGGCTACTCTTCCTTGCGGTGCACAGACTTCTCACTGCAGTGGCTTCTCTTGTTGTGGAGCACAGTCTCTACACATGCAGGCTTCAGTAGTTGTGATACACAAGCTCTAGAATGCAGGCTCAGTAGTTGTGGTGCACAGGCTTAGTTGCTCTGCGACATGTGGGATCTTCCCGGACCAAGGCTCGAACCCGTGTCCCCTGCATTGGCAGGTGGATTCTTAACCACTGCATCACCAGGGAAGTCCTCACCTTCATTTCTGAAGGTCAACTTTGTAGAGAAAAGTGTTCACGGTTGGCATGTATTTTCTTTCAGCTCTTTGAATATATCATCCCACGCTCTCCTGGCGTATTTCTCCTGCTGAAAAATCTGCTGATAGCCTT